AGAAAGGAGAAAGACAAGAACAGAAGAGTAACAGGAGGAGTAGACTAGAGAAAAAGAGTAATATCAGATGAGAAAAGAAAGATTTGTTGTAGACAAGAAAAAGGTAGAGAGGAAATTGAAACGAGGAGGAGGAGAAGAAGAATCCCAAAAGGTAATAGAGTTAAAAGAAAGAAAGTGTGTGGTGGGGAGGGGGTTATTAGTTGGTGATAAAGAAACAGAGTAAAGCATTAGAGAGAGAGAGAGAGAGAGAGAGAGAGAGAAAGAGAGAAGAAAAGAAAGATATATTAAAAGATGAAAGGGAGAAGAATAAACAAATTTGAAAAGATGAGAGAGGGAATGCAGAAGAAAAGAAGATTAACAACACAGGGTAGGGAAAGATTAACGATGCAGGGTGGGGCACGGATTAATGTGTGGTTGTGGATTTGGGGAGAAGGGGGAAATCAAAAAACAAAAAGAAATGCAGATAAATAAGAAATTACATAAGGTGTGAAAAAAAAAAGAAGCTAAACTCTTTCACTTTAAAGGAGGGGCAGCGTGAGGTGGGGGTGCAGAGACAGAAAGCGAGTTATGAAAAATGGAAAGAGGGCAATTGCAGTAGACAGGTTTGATTAGTATTGACCGGAGAGGTTAATAAGAGAAGGCTGGTCCCCTGAAGACTTACAGACAGACAAACTGACGGAGAGGAAGGAAACGGCTGGATCTAAATGTTCAGTTCACACTTTTTTCCAAATCACAATTAACATTCTATAGGTTTATAAAAACATTTTCTTTCAAATTCAACATTTTCTTTATTCTCAGGTAAACCATCGATTACATTTTTTCCTCTCTTTATAATTCTAGTTTCGTCATCATTTTACTTTTAAATTTTGTAGTCTTTAAAAAGAATCAAGAAAGTTTACCACCAGATGCTCCGAAAACAAAGATATGAAAAAAAATTGAATGTGTTTTTTATTACATATCAACTGCTACATAATGGTCGTCTTATTAGTAGATATTAAATAAATCCTTAGTCACTTGGTTTAAAAAAAAAAAAATGAAAAATTCATTGCGATCTTTGAAGTTTTAACTACAATAACACCAGGTTAATCAGAAAAGGAAAATATATTTTTTATATACTTAAAGCAGATTTTATATATATTTTGTTATATTCTCCATATTTTGATCACATTAAGACTGGTAAGAGTCTGCTTAAATTTACAAGTATCTCATGGGATAGTTCAAGTATGGATGACCAAAATGATAATTATCTTTCTTTTGTCACTATTTTGTGTACAGAAACTTGTTTGTTAACATTTAGAACTCTGCATCATTTATAAATATTACTTCCCCTTTTACTGTATATGGAATCCCCTCAAAATATACTGTTTTATATATTAGTTCTATATATCTGAAAGTGCAGTAGCCGGACTCATAATTTCAGTCAAGATTGTTTTAGGTGTTGCCATAGAAGGATATGTCTACACAACCAAGAGATTCAAATTCAACTTGCATTGGCAAGACTAACATTTTGCTTGGTGAAAATAGTCACCTACAGAGTGCTAAAGGTTAAAGAGTGTCAAGGTAGCCAAAGAAAATAACTTTGTTTTTTTTGCAATTGTTTTTCCATAAATGTTAATAACATAGATGTTCTATTTACATTATTTGGACTATCATCCTCATCTTTGTTGCCATATTTGTCACAACATTTCAGCCATTGTACGCTCCGGCCTTCTTCAGGTGGTTGGACACATGGGACAGTGGATAAAGGAGTTAGTTAGATCCAGTGACAGGACCCAAAGAGTGTGAGTTTAATACCTGGTTAAGGCGGTGGAGAACTTGGAGATATGAATTAACAGGAGATAACTGATAACTGACATCCATTAGACATGGCATGTGGAACTAGAACAGTCTACCCCAGCGAGTGAAATAAAGAGTTCAGTTCAACATTCCAACCACCTGAAGAAGGCTGGAGCATACAACGGTTGAAACGTTGTGATAAATATGGCGACAAAGATGAGGATGATAGTCCAAACAATGTAAATAGTGTACATAATACCTCATCTCCTGAAATATAGACAGAAACATATTGCATGTAATTAAAAAAAAAAGAAGAATTTTCCATTAAAAATCTGTAGTACATTAAATTTTTTATCATTAAACCAATTATATTTAACATTTCTACTGTCTTTACAAAGTTTATATTGCCTGTTGTCAGAGTAAATGTACGTTTTCAAGAAACCCTGAAATCTTACCCCCTTGCATTTACATTATAACCTAAATGGTGCTTAGTGTTATCCCCAAACAAATGCAGACATCGTAGAATACAGTCCAAAATTTTCATGATGTGTTTTTATGATAATATGGGCTGGGGGTTTTGTTTAGCTTAACCTGCACTGCAGCAGTTCTGATTGAAACCAAAGTGGGAGTGCTAATGAGGAATTGTTGTTAGTCTCTTTATAGCCATTAATTTCCAGTAAACAGGAATTTTTTTCATATTGTGTCAACATAGTCAGGGAAGAATGTTATAATATAGCCGCAGTGTAAGTATTAATAATGATTATAAAATATTAATAATGTTTGTTATAACATTGCAGCAGTAAAATTATTAATTATGTTTAAAAAATAATAATGTTTGTTATAATATTGCAGTAGTGAAAGTATTAATAATGTTTATAAAATAATGTTTGTTCTAATATTGCTGCAGAGAAAATATTAATAAAATATTAATAATGTTTGTTATAACATTGCAGCAGTAAAATTATTAATAATGTTTATAAAATAATGTTTGTTATAATATTGCAGCAGTGAAAGTATTAATAATGTTTATAAAATAATGTTAGTTCTAATATTGCAGCAGAGAAAATATTAATAAAGTAATAATAATGATTATAAAATATTAATAATGTTTGTTATAACATTGCAGCAGTAAAATTATTAATAATGTTTAAAAAATAATAATGTTTGTTATAATATTGCAGTAGTGAAAGTATTAATAAAGTATTAATAATGATTATAAAATATTAATAATGTTTGTTATAAAATTGCAGCAGCAAATGTATTAATAATAAGTATTAATAATGTTTATAATAATGTTTGCTATAAAATTGCAGCAGTGAAAGTATTAATAATGTTTATAAAATAATAATATTTGTTATAATATTGCAGCAGAGAAAATATTAGTAAAGTATTAATAATGTTTCTGAAGTATATAATCAGAATAGCAATAAAGAAAGATTATAAATAAAACTTTCTAATTATTTAATTTCTTTAGAGAGAAAACAAATATTTTTAGGGTTTAAAAGATAATTTTAATGAGCTTTCTGAGTAAATTAAAAGGAGTTTAATGGACTTATTTTTCACAAACATCTTACAAAATACCCTATTAATCTCATCAATAAATTAATTCATAAATTAATAGGTACTGAAAATTTTATTAAAATTTGAGAATTTCGAGGGGGAGATTTGACTTAAAAAGTTTCTCTTGTGGATTATGGTTTAAATAATATTTCAAATTTGAATCTCTTTAGTTTGATATAATAATTTTCCCCAATTTTTCTTCTGACTAAAGCTGCAAAGTTTATGACAATAAAATTTACTTTTAAAAAAATTTTACACAATTTTTTTTTTATCATATATTGCTTTAAATGATTGCTAAGTTATACAGATACAATATATGGTGCCTACTGGTGTGTGTAGTAGGTTGTTTGCTATACAACACATATAGAAAGATAGTACAGTTAGTGTCTCAATATACTAGTAAGTGGTGTGACCATATGTAGTTTTGGCACAGGTTAGTAAATAGCCTAACTTCATTTACTGGGAAGTCTAACTTTTGGGCCATTGGTTACCTACCATATGTTTGGTAGTTGACCTATTCAATAGGTATAAGCCTAAGTCAGAAATTTGAGCTAAAAATCTTGAGGTTGACATGTATGCCATAATTTACAGTAAATAAAAACTAAAATCATAAGATATACATGCAGCATGTACACATCTAATGAAAACAAAGTAATATAAAATTTAATAATTGACTTCCAAAAATTTATGAAGCTAAATAAATAGTGAAACATGTCAAATTTATAAAGGTCTTTCTATTTGTTTCTTATTTAATCATTTTGTTCAGTTTCATTCATATCTTCAACTCATCCGAGTGGAACATGGAAACAAAAAAAAAACAAAAAAAAAACAAACAAAAAAAAACACACCTATATCTAATTTACCAATATAAAATAAAAATACTAACAGGCCACTTTCTGAGAAATGGGAAAAATTTAGTGACATAGAGAATTCAATCCCTGGGCCAGGTAGTGCAGACTTCGACTCAGGGGAAACAGAGCCAACCACTCACTGAGTAGTACTAGATAAGAAAAAAAGTATTATTCACATGGACAGCAGAATGAGAACAATCTACCCCCATAAATTAAATAAAGAGTTCAGTTTGAAATTTTCTAAAGGTTACCTGGATCAGCAAACACCTGAAGAAGGCCTGAAGACACAGTGATTGAAGCACTGTGATAATAACAACAAAGATGAGGACAAGAGTCTGCGAGAAAATGATGTAAATAATGATAACCCATCGTACTACAAATTTAGGCAGAAAAATTTCCTAATATTCAGCTAAAAAAAAAAATATAGTGAAACATGGTAAATTTATAAACATTTTCCTATTTTTTTTTCTTATTTATTCATTCTATTGGATATACATAATGTCTACGCAATAAACAAAGCAGATTAAAATTTGATACATACATAAACACTAACGCCATAAGTTGGTCATTTTAATTTAGTCTCATATCAACTTCTATGGGTTGATAATGAAATTTAAATATTTTGTCTGAAATTTTTTTCTTTTTGGAGATAACAGTAGTTTTAGTAATATGTCTTACTAATTAACCCATAGCAGGAGGGAGATGAGGTGGATTCATACCTTTCCTTTTGTGTGTAGGTGAATATAATGGACCCAACTGGAATTAGAATTTGGCTTTCCAATTAACAATTCTATCAATGACACCAATCACACATTACAGCACCTAATATTCTCAAACATTCACCCATCTAAGTACTGTCCAGGCTTGACATTGCTTAACTTCAGTGATTGTACAGGAACTGGTGTTTTAACGCAACATGGCTGTAAGCCACTAACACCTTAAGATATGTACTTGACATCTACACAACCAATGAAAACAAAAGAAAATTTAAAAATTGATATATACAAAAACACTAACACCATGTGATATGCACTTGATGTCTACACGACCAATGAAAACAAAAGAAAATTTAAAAATTGATATATACAAAAACACTAACACCATGTGATATGCACTTGATGTCTATATGACCAATGAAAACAAAAGAAAAATTAAAAATTGATATATACAAAAACACTAACACCATGTGATATGCACTTGACATCTATATGACCAATGAAAACAAAAGAAAATTTTAAAATTGATATATACAAAAACACTAACACCATGTGATATGCACTTGATGTCTACACGACCAATGAAAACAAAAGAAAATTTAAAAATTGATATATACAAAAACACTAACACCATGTGATATGCACTTGAAATGCAATGAAAATGAGACATTGATATATAAGTGCATCATTTCTTATTCCTTATTTAATCCTTCTGTTGGATTTAATTCAGTCTTTCAACTCATATTTGTAAATTTCTTAAAATGACTAAAGAAAACAGAAAGAAAAAGAAATTCTCTCTTCCAGTTTATAGTCTAAAATATTTAACAGGTTTCACTCCCACATTGATATCGGTATCCTTTTTTTATAGCCATTTTAAAGAGTTACTAGTTTTTACTAAAATATTTTATTTTTATCAACAAAAGATGCTAAAACATTTGTAGAGAAATTAGTCAATGTGTAGTGTATAAATAATGTTTCTGTTTTAATGAGAGCAAAGTTAGTAAGCAGATTACTATTTTAAACAATTTTGCTGTGTAATTACAACAAATAGTTTGCTTGCTCAGCAATTAAATGTGCAAAATGTTAACGAAGTTTTTTCTTTATCAAATGAGGATGAAGTGGTTTATTATCTACAGACAATATCTGATGTGAATAGAAGAAATTGAAAAGGTTAATGGAGTCAATTTGTTTCATTAATGACAGTTGAAGAGGAATGAAATAACAAGTGCATGTTCGTTGGGGCATTAAGAGGGAGAGAGAGAGATAAGAAGAAGACATTATCTGATAAAAGGGGAAGAATTAAAAGCATCAGAAGGAAAACAAGAAAATGAAAAAGAAAAAAGAGTGGAAAAAGAAGAGAAAAAGATGTGAGTGAATAAGGATATGTCAAAGAAAAAAGGGGTTGGAAAAAGAAGAAAAAAAAGAGTTGGAAGAAAAAGAAAAAAAAGTGTTGGAAGAAAAAGAAAAAAAGAGTTGGAAGAAGAAGAAGAAGAAAGAGTCGGAAGAAGAAGAAGAAGAAGAAAAAAAGAGTCGGAAGAAGAAGAAGAAGAAAAAAAGAGTCGGAAGAAGAAGAAAAAAGAGTCGGAAGAAGAAGAAGAAGAAAAAAGAGTCGGAAGAAGAAGAAGAAGAAAAAAAGAGTCGGAAGAAGAAGAAAAGAGTCGGAAGAAGAAGAAAAAGAGTCGGAAGAAGAAGAAGAAAAAAGAGTCGGAAGAAGAAGAAGAAGAAAAAAGAGTCGGAAGAAGAAGAAAAAAGAGTCGGAAGAAGAAGAAAAAGAGTCGGAAGAAGAAGAAGAAGAAAAAAGAGTCGGAAGAAGAAGAAGAAGAAAAAAGAGTCGGAAGAAGAAGAAAAGAGTCGGAAGAAGAAGAAAAGAGTCGGAAGAAGAAGAAGAAGAAAAAGAGTCGGAAGAAGAAGAAAAAAGAGTCGGAAGAAGAAGAAGAAAAAAAAGAGTCGGAAGAAGAAGAAGAAGAAGAAAAAAGAGTCAGAAGAAGAAGAAGAAGAAAAAAGAGTCGGAAGAAGAAGGAGAAAAAAGAGTCGGAAGAAGAAGGAGAAAAAAGAGTCGGAAGAAGAAGGAGAAAAAAGAGTCGGAAGAAGAAGAAGAAGAAGAAGAAGAAAAAAGAGTCGGAAGAAGAAGAAGAAGAAAAAAAAGTCGGAAGAAGAAGAAAAAGAGTTTGGAAGAAGAAGAAAAAGAGTCGAAGAAGAAGAAAAAAGAGTCGAAGAAGAAGAAAAAAGAGTCGGAAGAAGAAGAAGAAGAAAAAAAGAAGTCGAAGAAGAAGAAGAAAAAAGAAAAGGAAGAAGAAGAAGAAAAAAGAGTCGGAAGAAGAAGAAGAAGAAAAAAAGAGTCGGAAGAAGAAGAAGAAGAAGAAAAAAGAGTCGGAAGAAGAAGAAGAAGAAAAAAAGAGTCGAAGAAGAAGAAGAAAAAGAGCGGAAGAAGAAGAAAAAAGAGTCGGAAGAAGAAGAAAATAAGTCGGAAGAAGAAGAAAAAACACTAACACCATGTGATATGCACTTGACTTCTATATGACCAATGAAACAAAAAGAAAATTTTAAAATTGATATATACAAAAAACACTAACACCATGTGATATGCACTTGATGTCTACACGACCAATGAAAACAAAAGAAAATTTAAAAATTGATATATACAAAAACACTAACACCATGTGATATGCACTTGAAATGCAGAAGAAGAAGAAAAAAGAGTCGGAAGAAGAAGAAAAAAGAGTCGGAAAAAGAAGAAGAAAAAAGAGTCGGAAGAAGAAGAAAAAAAGAGTCGGAAGAAGAAGAAAAAAGAGTCGGAAGAAGAAGAAGAAGAAAAAAGAGTCAGAAGAAGAAGAAGAAGAAAAAAGAGTCGGAAGAAGAAGAAGAAAAAAGAGTCGGAAGAAGAAGAAAAAAGAAGAAAAGAAGAAGAAGAAGAAGAAAAAAGAGTCGGAAGAAGAAGAAGAAGAAGAAAAAAGAGTCGGAAGAAGAAGAAGAAGAAAAAAGAGTCGGAAGAAGAAGAAAAAAGAGTCGGAAGAAGAAGAAAAAAGAGTCGGAAGAAGAAGAAAAAAAAGTCGGAAGAAGAAGAAAAAAGAGTCGGAAGAAGAAGAAGAAGAAAAAAGAATCGGAAGAAGAAGAAAAAAGAGTCGGAAGAAGAAGAAGAAGAAAAAAGAGTCAGAAGAAGAAGAAGAAGAAAAAAGAGTCGGAAGAAGAAAAAAGAGTCGGAAGAAGAAGAAGAAAAAAGAGTCGGAAGAAGAAGAAGAAGAAAAAAGAGTCGGAAGAAGAAGAAGAAGAAAAAAGAGTCGGAAGAAGAAGAAGAAGAAAAAAGAGTCGGAAGAAGAAGAAGAAGAAAAAAGAGTCGGAAGAAGAAGAAGAAAAAAGAGTTGAAAGAAGAAGAAAAAGGGTTGGAAAAAGGAGAAAGATGTGAAGAAAGACGGGAAAAAGGGGAGTGAAGAAAGACGGGAAAAAGGGGAGTGAAGAAAGACGGGAAAAAGGGGAGTGAAGAAAGACGGGAAAAAGGGGAGTGAAGAAAGACGGGAAAAAGGGGAGTGAAGAAAGACGTGGAAAAAGAAGAGAAAAAAGATTGAATAAGAAATTGAGAAAGAAAACAAAAACATGTAGAAGGAGAAAACCTGAAGTAGAATAAAAAAAAAATGTTGAAGTGGAAAGTAAAGAATGGAAATCTAGTAAAGAAGTGAAAGAAGAAGTAAAAAAAAAAAAAAAAGAAGATGGAAAAATGATTTGTTGTGTGTGGGGAGGGAGAAAGATATGATGATGATGATGATGAGGAGGAGGAGTCAGATAAAAAGAAATAAAAATGGCAAATAAGCAAGCAAGAAGTTAAGAAAAAAAAAGAAAAAAAAATGAATGAAAAATAAAGAAGGAGAAAACGTGAAAATGGGATCAAAGAAATATTTAAGGGATGTTTGATGACAGCAGCAAAAGGTTTTCTAATATAAACAAGAAAAAAAAAGATATAAGTAATTAGTCTCTCTTAGGCGTCTTTGTTTTTATGAACAGTAATAACAGCCAGGTTCTTCCTGATCAGATAATGTGCACTTTCATTCTCCCCTCCCACCCACAACTCAATGTTACATGGGAAAGAAATAACATAAATGATATAATAAAAATTATGAAAAAAATCAATGACTAACAAACAAAAAATTATAAACTGGCAACAGTGAAGAAGTTTAAACAAGAAATATCTTGTTAGAAAAATGAAAGAATGTCAGCTACTGAATGAAAAATAATGGAAGGAAGGAATAATAATAATAATAATGATACTATGATATGCTAAAAATAAAGAAGAATAATAAAATCATAATATTATTATATATTTAAAATAAATAATAATAAAACCATAATACAAGGGAGAAAGGAATAATAATAATACCATATATTCAAAATAAATAATAAAATCGTAATAATACAAGGAATTTTAATAATAATAATTATAATAATAATGATGATAATACCATGATATATTCAAAATAAATAATAAAATCGTAATAATACAAAGAATTTTGATAATAATTATAATGATAATAATAATAATGATAATACCATGATATATTCAAAATAAATAATAAAATCATAATAATATAAGGAATTTTAATAATAATAATAATAATGATAATACCATGATATATTCAAAATAAATAATAAAATCGTAATAATATAAGGAATTTTTTAATAATAATAATACCATGATATATTCAAAATAAATAATAAAATCGTAATAATACAAGGAATTTTAATAATGATAATACCATGATATATTCAAAATAAATAATAAAATCGTAATAATACAAGGAATTTTAATAATGATAATGCCATGATATATTCAAAATAAATAATAAAATCATAATAATATAAGGAATTTTAATAATAATAATAATAATGATAATACCATGATATATTCAAAATAAATAATAAAATCGTAATAATATAAGGAATTTTAATAATAATAATAATGATAATACCATGATATATTCAAAATAAATAATAAAATAAATAATAATACAAGGAATTTTAATAATGATAATACCATGATATATTCAAAATAAATAATAAAATCGTAATAATACAAGGAATTTTAATAATGATAATACCATGATATATTCAAAATAAATAAAATTGTAATAGAAGGAATTTTAATAATAATAATAATGATAATACCATGATATATTCAAAATAAATAATAAAATCATAATAATATAAGGAATAGTAATAATAATAATGTAGGCACATCCACTGAATTTTCGATACCTAAGTTTTAAAATTAAATTTTAAAAATGAAAAAGAATTCTTGAAGATTTCATTTTAGTTTTAATTGAAAGCTAAATGATTAAATTTATTATTTCCAGTAAGTAAAATATTCTGGTGTATTTCAGATAGAAATTATATAGATTGGAATGTAAAATAATTACTTGATTTTTAAAAAAAAATTTTAAAGGCAGCCATTTTCTTAATTTTAAGAAATTTGTAAACAGACAAATCTATCAGTTTTAAAAATCTTTCAAAATCAAATTATAGATTTGTGACATGTTATTTGAGTAAAATTAGAAAATTTAAAGTTAAATTAATCTGATTTGAAATAAATATTACTTATAGCATAAAAAAACAATATAGAAGCATTTCTTAATGATGTGTCCCCTCTTTCTTTGATCTTTATTGATTTATCGAGAAGCTTTCAAAGTGATGACAGCTCTTATGGATGAGCAGAAATGACATAAATTTACAAAATTTAAGTGAATGCATTTTTTTAGTTTTAACGAACTAGTAATTTTTACAAATTAACATACTTTCAGCAATTATTTAATATTTTATTAACTTTTAGTTAGGTTTCAAGAAGCTTTATGAAATTTGTATTTCGTCTCTAGGTTCTAGTTTACTACCTTAATTAAAAAATTAATTAATTGAAGTATGACCCAAACTAAAATAAATATATAAAATAAAAATATTTAGTGAAATAGCAATTAAGAAAAGTAAAACTATTTTATTTGATATTTTGAAGGGATGATTTGCAAAGATGTTAATGATGAAACAGAACTGAATTAAAAGTTAAATAATTGCAGTGGGTCAGACGATACTTAAATCACATAACCTTTTTAAGGATTATGTCATGTATAGATTCCCATAGGTAGAAATTAGAAACGATTTTTCACTAAACATTATTTTAAAAATTTTTTTAAAAATATTTGGGTACAAACGACTGTTATGAACTTTTCAAATTTTGATTTGTAAATTTACTTTTCACTTAACGATATCACCAAATTGCATTCTTGTAAGCATTGAAGAATTTTAAACGATTTTTGAACTATTGTATTATTATAATTAGAATTTAAAATGAACGAAAAAATTCTTGTAAAAATTCATTATTCATCAAAAAAATTTAATTTCTTCAGACCTTAATAAAACTTATTTACAAAAGCAATTAAAAGCTTTTCTAATTAAATAATGTCATAGATTTATTGCATTTTTATTTTATAATTCAGAACAGATTTTTGATGAAACTGTTTATAAAAAAAAAATTGATGATTTACTTTCTACAAAGAGTCCTGTCTTTAACTAATAAAAAATATCCCCCCCCTTAAAAATTTAATTCCCATGAAATTAAGTGGGTAGTAACATACTGAAAAGAAAAACATTTTTACCAAGATTTTTTAAAAAGAAATATTTCAAATATAATTTCATTCATTTCTGAATATGTCCTGAAAGTTTCATTAAAATCTGACAATTATTTGAATTTTGCAAGAATTTCCAAATAAATGTGTTTTTCCCCAAAAAAAAAATGTAAAAAAAAAAAACAAAAAAAAAAAAAATTAACCTTTATCTTTGGTATGCCGCTGATGTAAAAAAAAAACCCAAAAAAAACCCAGATTTTTAACCAAAATTTACAACATGCTACAAGGGAGTAAAAAATTAAAAAAAAAATACTTTGGTCTTTCCACTTAATAATAACATAAACATTTTGATGACAAAATTTTGTTTTCATTGAGTTTAGGGCCTTTTTACAGCATGTTATATGCTGTTTTTTACACAACCAAGTGGCGGTACTTATAATAATGATACCATAATATATTCAAAATAAATAATAAAATCATAATAATAACACCATGATTAATGCAAAACTATATTATGGAAATAATATGAAATATTAAAAAATAAAAATATTAAGAGGTACCCAAGACCCATCCCCTAACTCTTTAACTGTAGACACTTACACATATATATATATATATATATATATATATATATATATATATATATATATAAAATAAAAGAATAAAATAATTAAAAAAAAAAAATTCTAATCCCCACAGTGTAATTTTTCTTTATTTACCTACCCTAAGTTACTCCTCACCCCGCTGAAAACTATTCATACTATATTGATTATAATTTATAAAGTTAATTCTCCTTCCGTTAATCCCATATATCTCCTTATCTATAACTTCTTTTACATTTATTTTTGGGTTCATTCTCAATTTCTACTTTAATTTTAAAATTAGGTCAAAAACTTGTGTTTTCTTCTTCTTTTCTGGAATCATATTTTTTAAAAATAATTATAATATATTTTATATATATATATATATATATATATATATATAAATAAAATATATTATAATTATTTTTTAAAAAATATGATTCCATCGCTACATAAGAGTTCTCATGTTTCAAAAACAGAAGCTAAAAACTTCAATTTAATTATAGTAATTAAATTAAAGTACCTAGTTCTGTTTCATTCTCAAGCAAATTTTGGAATAACAAATTTTGAAATTTACGGAGCTTTATAAGCATATATGTTCATACTATTAATTTCTATGGAAATGGAGAAAACCAATCATTTACTAAGGAGTGGTAGGGTTTACATTTTCACTGACAACTGTTGTATCAACATGTTAGTTACTTTCGAAAAGAAGTTAAGTCAAGGTAGGGTCAGGGTGCATATTTTCAAACAAATGATGACATCCGTTCAATGCATATCGTCTGGTCTGTTTCAACGACAGAGAGTTTTTGGCAGTTTTTGTTAGGTGATTAAATCTGTATTTGTATACATAAAGTTTTTTTTTTCTAAAAGTGTTGTTTGTATATGAATACGTCATATTGAACTACAATTTGTTTTTTTGACGACTTCATAAAGGGTTTTTTTTTTCTTATGATTGGGTTAAGATTTTAAACCTATTGCTTTAATTGAACTTGTTTATAGACTTTGAAATTTAATTTTTTTTGTAAGAACCAGTAATAAGGAGTGCCAGAGAAAAGCAATGATAACAAAGTTGCAATATGAACTCTGGTAAAGACATGCAATGATAACAGCAAAAATTGCAATATGAGCACTGGTAAAAATGATGCTGAAAACATTAGGTTTATAATACTCAGAAGTTCATACACATGGCACAGTGGATAAAGGCGTTGGTTAGATCCAGTGACAAAGAAGGTGAGTTCAATTCCTGGTTAAGGCAGTGGAGAACTTTCAGAGGGAAAATTAGCAGGAGATAACTGATAGCTGACATCCATCAAACATGGCACGTGGAATTAGAACAGTCTACCCCAGCGATCGAAATAAAGGGTTCAGTTCGAAATTCCAACCACCTGAAGAAGGCCGGAGCGTACA